ACACTGCAAGAGACGGGGCCCTGCAGCGAGGGACCCCTTGACGCAAACACAAGGGGAAACCCACCAGCAGGGGACCCCCAAACATATAACAAGTCAGGAGGGCCTCAGAAAAAGACCATCCCGTCCCCACTAGCAACACACAAGGCGACCCAGCGTGTTTAGCAGGGTCCCCCATAAACCACAGATACCGGCGGTGGCCCCCCTTTAGGGCGCCCCTCCAACCCGCCTTCACTTAAACGGCCCCCCTTTAGGGACCCCAACATATGACCCCGCATACGTAGCAGAGATACACCTTTGACAAACTGCTGCACCAACAGGAGCAGCAGCAGCACCTGCTGCTGCGCGTTTCGTTGCTGCAAAGCTTGCAGCAACCACGGCTTTTATAACAAGAAGAAGGCCCATGGAGACTCCCCCTCTCTGCGGGGACCCTCGTAAGCGTTCTTCAAGGAAGAAGAGACGTCTTCGCAGTCTCCCTGGACGAGTCTGCGGGCGTACAAGTGATCCCCCCCTGCGCGTCCCTTCGCCAGGAGGGTTTACATTTTGAGCACTCTCCACATTAGGGATGTTTTCTGCTGCTGCTGCTGTGGCTGCCCCGCTGTTGCTGCGTTAGAGAGTGGCTGCATTACCTTTTGCTCAGCATAGCCCCAGGAGAATACAAAGGCCCCTGGCGGCCCCGTAGACAGAGGCTCCTGTTTCCCATTCAAAGCTCGTCATCAGGGATAAGGAATAGCCTCCGTGTCTCTGCCGCTGCTTCTGCTGCAGCGGCAGAAAGAGCAGCAAATTCCTCCCTAGGGTCCTGCAGTAGGCAGTCTGGACCATCATGCTTCCTGTAGAATGCAGCGAGAGGGAGCACCAAATCAGCATCTGCTTCCAGCAACCACGGCAAGGCACCCACCACCGTGGGTGAGCCTCCGCCTCCTTGAGCCCCATGAGGACCCCCAATATAAAGGCCCCCCAGAAGTTCGCCTAAAGGCGTTGTATGAACCAAAGCGACTGCAGTTCCTTCGTGCAGAGCCCCTAAAGCCTCCGACAGCGACAGCAGTAATACTCCACCTGGCAACCTGGAGCCTCTTAATTGGCTGGGAGGTGATTGACCTCTTCCGCAGCCCCTGGGGTTATGAGCCCCATCTTTATTGTGGGTGCGTTCAGAGCCCCCTTTATCAGCAGCATGCCCTGCGCCTAGTCGGGTGGTTCGATGAGATACGGAGGCCCGGGAACAAGGCTCTTGGGACCCCGCCCATATATTGCTGGCCGGCTTTGTAGGATCTGGGAGGGGGCCCTCCAGCCTGGTCATGTCCACCAGGCCGTACACTGTGCTCCTAGGCAGAACCGCAGAAACAATATCGGCCAGCTCGGGCAAGGATGCCTCAATGAGCACCAGGGGCCTCTCTATCCCCAACCCCATCAGCAGCAAAGCTAAGTCATGCACCCGCTGCACTTCCAAACTTTTTTGCAGGCTAAGCAACACAGGAACCCCACCCCAGGGGGCTCCAGCAGACACAAACGAGTGAAACAGGCAAGAACCCCAAACCCAGCGAGCTTTGTACCCTCTGTCTCCACCGCCAAGCACGCCAGGCTTGGCTTGCACCTCCTGCTTGCTGTTCTGTTGCATCTGTGGATTGTGTGGCTGTTCCTGCTGCTGCTGCCTGTTGCTGCTGTTGCTTCTGCTTGTGTGTGCCGTCGAGCTGGTCTGTCGGGGAGCTGCTAGCGCTGCGTGAAGTTTGAGTGAGGGGAAGGGCCCCCAAGCTGTCTGTACAGTAGAGTAAGGCAGAGCAGGCTCTGTAAGATGAATGCCCCCATTCTTCAAAGCAGCATATAGGGCAGCTCTGCTGCTGTAAGCCAAGTACTGCACCCGTAGGGGCCCACCCCCCGGAATAAGCGAGGCGTAGTTCATGGACAAGAGCGACACAGCGGCCTCCAGCACACGAAACGATATTCCTGTAGGTCTCAACTGCTGCTGCGCATGCTGCTGCTTCCGCTGTTCCTGCTGAACCTGCTGCGTCTGCGGAGGAAGCGAACGCACGGAGGCCGGCAGAAAGGGAATTCCGACGAGCCCCACCCGAATGACACCGCCCTTGAGGGCGGAGGACAAGAGGTCACCTGCACCAGCAGCAGCAAAAAGCGCAGCAGAAGCAGCAGCAGCGCACGGTTGGCCCTCGTAAATCTACCTTCTTAGCGTGTGAAAGTTTCAGCCTTCACGAGAGAGCCGTTTGACACAACTTCAGAAATTCGCGAAGGACTGTGAGCACCTCTTTCCACAGAGAGCAGCATCAGCAGAAGCAGCAGCATTGCTTCCTCACCTTTTGTGTCTGTGGCTACGGGAAGCAGAAATGGGACAGGGGGTCGTGGGCCGCCCAAGAAGAAAGGCATGAGAGGTGGGGGCTCTGCGTGCAGACCCAAATAGCGCCTTAGGGACGGCAGCAGGGACTCGGCTGCTGCGCTCTCCAGGGCAGCCTTCAGTGGATCGTAACACTCTTGCTTGTGCAGATGGAAGGAAGCCGCAGCACACGCCTCCTTCCCAATAGGCTCAGTCTCATGCTGCACTTCTTGCTCCTCCCTTTCCTGCTGCTTCTGCTGCTGCCCGGGGCTTTCTTGTTCGTATAGGGAATGGGAGGAAGTCGCGGAGTCAGCCTGCTGCCGCTCCTCCTGGTGCTGCAAAAGGTCTATCTGCCCACTCTGCCGGTGCTCTGTCTCCCGCGACTGCTGCGGCGGCTGCAGCGGAGGTGCCACTGACCCTTGCGCTTGCTGCAATGACTCTTCGGCAGCAGCACCACTGGAGGGAGGAGTCGCAGCAGCATTAGCTTCCACTGCTTGTTCCTCCAGAGGTTTGATGAGCTGTGATCGCTCCGGTTCGTCAATGAGTTCCCATAGAGTCTCTTGACCTGGAGGTCTCTCCTGAGGCCCTGGGGGTCCTCCCTGGGGGCCCCACTCGTCAGACGTCATCATCACGAAGTCGAGAGGTGGGGGGCCCAGAGCCTCCTTGGCAGGCAGGGCAGGGAAAAGAGAGCGAGGATTCTCTGTCCCATCTGCAGCGGATAAGGAGGCGTTTGCTGCTGTGATGACTCTGGGATGAAGCACGAGCAGCAGCAGCTGCACCAGCAAGACTGTGGGCATGGAAAGCTGCACATGTACGCGGCAGAGCCCGTAGAGTGACCCGCCGAGGCGGCTGGCTGTCTGCGAGCACCGTCTTCGTATCTTAAAGTAAGTCAGGTGCCTGCCAGAAGCCCATGCTTTGTCGCCATGTTTGGGGCCCCCCTCCACGTAGGGGGGCCCCGCTTCCCTATTGAGCCCCTGCGGATGTTGGATGCGCATCTCTGTTCGGGTTAATGCTCTTTGATTTAAAAAGGTGAATAAAAAAACAGAATTGGACTTCGATCCGGAAGGAGGGGGCAAGAAGATACAGCCGCTGCTTTGCGTCCCTATGCCAGAAGTGAACGCCGGAAGAAGGGGGAGGGGAGGACCCCTCCCCAACGCAGCAGCAACAACAAAGGGAGAAAAACAGAAAATAACTGCTATGACATGTTTATTGAATATAAACTTGCAAGCAACAGAGTATGCCCCCGTCGGTACCTGGCAAGTCTTGCAGCAATCGACAGCAGGGCCCTGCACGCATTCATGGGCGACTGCTGCAAGAGCTGGCGCTTCGCTACAGCTGCTTGGTAGCAACTAGGCCCCACACTTTCTTCCAAATATTCTACAGAGTTGTTTTAAATTAATACGAGGCACGTGGGATGGGGCGGAGAGCTTGATCTGCCCATTGCCGCTTCGGCTGTACCACCGCCTGTCTGCACCGTGAGCCTCCGCCCAGAAAGCAGAAACGAAGCCCACGGCGAACTGGCTACGCAAATCCTCTCTGCTTGTCTCGCCGACACAAAATCTCTAGAAATCCTGCGACTAATGGCTTCTGCATGCTTGCAGACACTTCATCCACGTGAGTGCCCTCACAGGACAAACACACGAGGGCACCACAATTATGTGGGGTGTCCAGGTTGTCTCAGACGCTGGGGATTACTGGGGACGAACTAACAACCCAAAATATAAATTATTGAAGCAGCACCATCACAACTCGGTTTGAGCTTTCAGGCCCTCTCGCCGCAGGGCAACAAACAGGCCGCCATTGCCCAGAGCGGCGGTGTGTGTTGATCCTTTGGGTCATGGGCTTTCTCGGAAACGGCAGCAGCAGCCTCGCCACTGCTGCTGCAAACCTCACTAGCAGCAGCAGCGACAGCTGCGTATGGATTGGTGTTGCTGCTCCAATGCAGCGGCAGCAGGCAAGATCTTTGCATATCAAAGGAGCAGTGGCCGCCGCGCTTTGCTGCGTAAGGCAGCAGTAGCAGGCACTTCCGTGGCAGACTATACAACCATAACTCACCAGCGTTCTCTCGGGGGCGTGTCAACAAGGGGGCGCAACTCCAGTTGCTGCCTGCTGCTGGAAAGGGACCTCCGTGACTGCGAGGGGCTAGCCAGAGCACTTAATGGGCCCCCTCTGGGGGAGCCTATGAGTCTATTGGTGATCTCCCTCGCCTTTTGCTTGATGGTCCTCCACTTGAGGGCTTCCGGCACCCGTTTGCTGTCTGACCTTGTGATGAAGAGGAAAGTTAGGATAGACAAGTACACAGCGGCCGCCAGGAAGCATGCTGCTGCTGCTTGCTGCTGCGTCTCGGTCGATAGACTGAACGTATCGGCTTTGAAATAAAACACAATGCCGCAGTAGAGGAAAAACAAACAACCAGATATCAAAACCGTATACGCAGACAACACGCCCATAGACGCACCCATCTTCCACCTACAGTTCCTACTGCTGTAGCAACAGCAGCGCGTCCTCTTGCTGCTGAGCTTGTTGGTCTCACTACTGCTGCAGCAGCTTCAGTTCCTGCTGCTGCAGCGGCTTCAGCCCCTGTAACTGCTGCGCTCCTCCCTTTGCTTACTGTTGCAGCTCCGTGGCTTCCTTTTTGCCCCCAGATGCTTCCCCGCTGCTGCTGCCGCTACTGCTGCTGCGTTTAGGATCGAATGTGCTCAGCAAATATTTTATTTATTTCCTGCTCGAAAAGGGGGCACCTCAGAGGCATGTCAATGTCGTAAAAGGGATTCTTCAGGCCGTAGTCCGCGTAGGCCACGTATACCCGACGCAGGCACTGCTCAACCGACTGTCGAGATAGCGCGGGGTCTGCCACCAGCACAAATCTCAGGCCTGAAGAAGCCAACGGCAAATTCCATTGAAGTGCAGATGCTGGTGCAGCAATTCGTATACTGCTGCTGCCTATGCAGAGTCACATGTGGGGGCCCATAAGGGCCCCCATATGTGTGTTGTTTGTGTCTGCAAACAATCTGCTCCTTGCTGTGGGTGACGGGTGCTGCCAGCGACGGAGCGCAACCATGCTGGCGGTGAGCCGCAGCCACCAGCACAATGGCAAGCAAAGACAGAGAGGCAGGCATAGAGGGAGAGATGCAGCTAAGAGAGACAGACGCAAAGAACGGGAGTCACACAGATGAGAGTCCGGCAAACAAACATGAGGTGAACTAACGGACATACAAAGCAGGCAAGGCGGCATGGTGAACCAGATACAGAGGAGACCAAACAAAAGACAGAAACGCATCAGAAGAGACGCGGACAGAAGAAACGGCTCTGTAAGAGTATTCACGTGTCTCACCCGTTAGTGTCTCCAGACACTGCACATTAAACTGGGGGGTCTCGATGAGACAAATGCCCCTTGGCTGAATGGACGACAAGTCACTTGAGGAAAAGCAAGACAAAGGAGACAGCTGTGCTGCTATCTCAGACAAGCCATGAAAGGTTGAGGCTTGCCGGATTGCGTCGTTAGCCTTCACACTTATCCCCTCTTTGAAGTTCTGAAGCACAACATGTATCCCTACGCAAGAGAATAATCTGAGACAAAAGCTGCATGCTAGTGTACTTAGTTGACCGCGCAAAAGGCGGCGACAGGAGCAGAGATCCACACCAGCTGCAGCAACAACAACTACAGCAGCAGTGGAAGGAACAGCAACAGCAGGACGAGTCTTGCTACTGCAACAGCGGGATCAGTAACAGCTGTGACTAGTTGCGCGCGACCGTGAAGGAGGCTCATGCACGCACGCGCTGAAATACCAAGCTGCCGTTTTTGTTGTTTATAAACAACGAGTACATTTTTCGGTCGCTAGCTGAAGCGGCTGACTTCACACTCCTGAATAAAAGGCCCCATGCGGGTGCCAGAGAAGGAGTAATGGGAGAAGTAGCGGGATAAATATCAAGAGAGCGTGCAAAATCTAGAAATCTGCCAGTAGGGCTCTGCGGTTATAGAAAATCTAGCATGGCTCTGCACCCCCAGGTGTGAATGCATGCAACAAATGCAGACCCAAAGTCGGCTTCTTCTCCTATGAGAGCGTTTGATTAATTACTTCCGGTATTTATTTTCCTGTTGTTAACAGTTGCAGATAAGGGAAGGGGGATGATTACTAGAATGAGGGAAGCATGAATTTTCACGCCAGTAGCGAACAGGCAACGCCGACTCATCCCAATGTACCATTGTTGCGCTGCAGGCGATTCCAAGTCTGCTCAGTGAGTTGCTTGCGTCCATATTCACACACACATTATTACAGTGTAACCACATCATGCCGAAATAATGAGCATGGCAGGTGAGCTTGTGATCTTATCGTTGGTGCTAAACGGAAGACACTGAACACTAGAATACTTTTGAAACTGGCGTTTGATGAATCGCTCAGATATAACAGCGTTTCATGTATTCTTCTTTTATCTGGAGTTGCTCCGCAAGACTGCTATGCTGCTTTTCAGTGCTCGCCTCAGATTAAGGGCATACCACTCTTGGCTTAGGTCGTGTAGGTTCCTGTACCATTCAAGTCTGGCTGTACGCCTTCAACTTAGAGGCTTCCTCTTAAAATTTTGTTGTTTATTGTCACAGTATTTGTTCTATTCCGCATGTCTGACCGGGGGCTTCACTGAGTGATCGTAGGCTGAGCGGGTCCAGTCATAGTCCGTGCCTCTCAACCATTCAGTCTCTCCGTAGCTATCTCGTATGCATTTAGCATTTTTGCTGTATATGTCCCGAACAATATTTAGGTAAAGATTTCTGATTTACGTCATCTCAGCCAATCCGCACTACAGTGGAGAAAAAGGTTCCAGTAAGGATGCGAGCTAACTAGTTCCTATAGCCACCCTAACAGGTGCAGTATGGCTTGAAGCTCTCAAACGCAGTTCAGAAGACTAAGGTTAGAGCGTAACCCAGGAACGGATAGGTCCCTCGATGCACTATCCACAGAGGGGACGAAGTATGCCAGAGCTCATGGATGACACGAAAAGGGCCCCTCAATTTGTCTACAATGGACTCACTTCGTGCGTCATTATAGGCGACGCAGTGCCTAAGCGAAAGTGTTGCATGAGGCGGAGCCGTATGTCGACACCAAGCACGTTCGTTATTCTGGAGGCACTCCTCCCCACCCTACCGGCTTTATGTCCATGATATGCGCACAAACAATGCTCAAGCATGGCGTGACGAGTTGTTCATGTCCGTCACCCCGTATTTGCTATGCGCTTGTACTTGAAAGCGTTGTTGAGCCCCCATGTTTTCTCGTATCGTCGCCTCATTAAGAGCCGTTGCCCCCTGTAGGGATGCCGAAGTCGAGTTTGCCTTTCCTCAAGTATGGACTGTGCTTTATTGAGCGCTCTTGTTGTGCCTCGTTTCCACGGGGTGTCCGCTTGTACTCTTCTCCTCGTTCCTATCGCACTTCTTCCCCTTCAAGTGCGCGCACTATTCTTTCCCCTACCATTTCCCTGCCTTACGTTCTCCTCCTTGCACGCCTCCACCTAATCTTCCCACTACCTCTTCTGCTTATGCGATTGCGCTGCAGTAGAGCGCCAAAAACCCTACAAGTTCTAAATTAGCGTTGGACGGGGCCGCGCACTGGGGCGTGCACGAAGTCTCATTCCTCATTCACAAGCACCGCAAGCAAACTGTCATTTGTTTGCTGCTGCTGATGGTGCTTCTGCCATAATCAGACTCTTGCAATTGCCGCTACTGCAGCTTCTGCAGATAGCGTACCATTATCCTTAACGACAGAACAAATTGCCGTCACTGCAACATATGCAGGCAGCGTACAATCCTCCTTAACGACAGGTGTGGCTACTAAAGTGCTTGCTTGTGTCCATCTAGGGCCGGGACAGCAGCAGGCGTTGCGGAGGTGCTGCAGCGTGAGCAGCCCCACAGCTCACGTCACAATGCTGCAGTGTCTAAGCATTAGGCTTTTGGGGTCCCTCCTTAAGAGACCCTTCATTAGATCTGGAAAGGTGCACGTGAAGAGTAGAAAAATCAACCCCCACTCTGTAGAACCAGTGAGGCACAGAAGCAAATGATTCCTTTCCACATGCTGCTGCTGGAACTGTTGTTGCAGCAAAAAACACGCGCAGTGGCGCTTGCGTTTGTCGTTCCGTTTGCCGTTGATGCTGCGACTGTGGGAACGGTAAGTCTATATATATATATATATATATATATATATATATATATATATATATATATATATATATATATATATATATATATATATGGTGCTTGCTTTTCTGGCATTGAAGCTCCTCCCGTTCAGATTTTCCCGTGTTACAGCTATTAAAACTACAAAGTAAAGACCCGCGCATTATGTCAAATGCACTAAAAAACAGCTGAGGCATAGACGGATTTCAACGCAAAAAAGACGGACAAGGGGGCGGAGCCAAAGGAGGTGCCAACAAAGGCTGCTGCTGCTGCTGCTCAGCGGCTGCTTTCGGAGGAGTACCGAAAGGAAATGAAATGGGATTGGAGCTGGGGCCTCCTGCAGCATGCAGTCTCCACAAATCCTTAGATTTTGCAACCCTTACCCGAACAATACATAATAAACCCTACACTAACAGCCTTAGGTCACCCTATCAACCCCAGATCTTACTTGAAACATGCGCAGCGCCGCACCCACTCGATAATAATGTGGGACTCGCGGGAGCACCAACTCTGTGAGCTGCCAAAGGACCCGCAGAGGCCTCCACTGAGCGCACGCCAGGAGGCGCCACCCCTTGGGGATCTCCAAAGGGGTTCACGTACAACCTCCTCCTATCTACGCCAGGGCCCCTTACAGTCTGAACAGAGAGAGCAGCAGGGGGTGCTGCTGGTGGAGGTGGAGAGGCTTGCTCCTGCTGTAGCTGCTCTCCCTGCAGCTCATCCAGTGTCTCTTTGCCTGCAGCAGGAGGCACAATCAAGAACACGACATACAGATAGCATGATACGCAAAGCAGCAGCACATTCGAGCAGTGGTGAGATACACAAGCAGCAGCACCAGGATAGTGAGCCGCACTTGCAAAAGTGTAGCCACTGAAGTCGGCGGCAATAGCAGCAAGAGCCACCGGCAGCAGCGACGATAATGGCTGCGAAACGAAAGTAGCAACAGCAGGCGGAACACCAGATACTGGAACCGCAGCGCTAACAGCAGCAGCAGTAGCAGCAACCACGAGGACAACTGCCGCCAGGGAAGGTACAACCATGAGAAGAGCTGCAACAGCAACAAAAGCATCAGCAGCAGCGATAGGAGCAGGCTTTCAAGCACCTCTTTCTTCCCATCTTTGTTTTTCCTTGTTGTAATAAAATGTATTCTCAACCCCTATTTGACGCTCCTCTCCAGCAAGCACCGGCAGCACAGCCTTTTTGAGGCCCACAAATACGCCCCCGAACCAGCTGCCGCTGCCGCTGTTCTTGTTGCCTTTGTTCTTCTTGCTGCTACTGCGGCTGCTGCTGTTGCTGCTAACTTGCTGCTGCCCGAAAAGTTGTCCCACGCCGTTCGAGCCGCCAGGTATTGAATCCTGGATCGGCAGCTGCTGCTGTTGTTGCTGCTGCTGCATGCGCTCTCGACGGATATGGGTCAAAAAGCTGCTCTGCTGCTGCAGCAAAGAGTTTCGTTCTTGCTGCTGCAGCTGCTGCGTTTGCTGTCGCAACATTTCACGCAGCTGTTGATCCACCTTGACTTGAGGCTGTGCCCTCAGGGAAGCAGCAGCATACTCACAGTACCTCTCCGCCTACATCAACGACACGAAATTCTAATGCAACGGCAAATACAAAGCAGGACTCCCGTCCTGCACATTTAAGGTGGCACCAGCAGCAGCAAGAAAGCTAACCTGCTGGCAGCAATGGCTGCAACAGTGCCAGCAGCTTACTTGCTTTAGAAGGCCAAACTCGGCAAGAAGAGCCGCAAAACGAACTTTATGAGGAATGAGATGCACGTAGACCCACTGTTGCAGCACCATACCAGCACACAGAAAATGATGCTGCTGCACCAGCGGCACTTGCCATGCTGGCGTCAGCAACAGCAGGGGTAGATGTAAGCGCACCTGAGGATTAGACAGTCTCAATATGTACTCAAGGGTCTCCGTCAGTATGAGCTGCTCTGCCTCCTGCAGAAAAGGAGAGCCAGAGCATCCCCCTGCCGCAGAAACCGCAGCAGCAGAACTTCATGTGTGTGGCAGCAGCAATTACACAATTACAAGCAGCCCTTGCAACCGCTGCAGCTGCATCGTGGCGCCAGCTGTGCCATCCTCGCCACGTGGCGCATAAGTAACACCAGCTCATTCATCTTTTGTTCGACAGCTGCACCAGATGCAACGGCGAAAGCAGACATGGAAGCAGCATAAAAGCTTGCAGCAGCAGAAGCAGCAACAGCAAACCTAGCAGAGTAATGTGTCCTATTCCTTCTTCGCTTGGCTTCTCCCCCGCGAGCAATAGCAGAATCTGTGCTGCATGCGCAGCGCCACAGGGTGCTGCTGCAGCTGCTGCCTGGGGGTCCTGCTGCGCGAGCGTCTGCAGGGCCAGCCCCAACTGCAGCAACTGCTGCCGTGTTGCAGGGTGCTGTAGCCCCAGAACGCTGCAGCAGTTTGCCGCAACAAATAGCCACCCTCGCAAAGCCTCTGCAGCGATAAGAAAAGTAGCAAAGACACGACAGGAAACATGTATATGCTGCCTGCTAGAAGTCTCCTAAGCTCCCCAGAAAGCATGCAAGAGCCGTGTTTGTGCTAGAAACTGCTTACCCGCAGTGGGCTCGGGGAGAGGGGCTCTGCCCAAAGCCCTATACAGACGCTCAAGGGCTGCTACCCAGACACCGCATGCACCACCTCTGCATGCAGCCGCCGCTGCTGCTACAGCAGCAGCTGCGGCTGCGGCAGTCGCTGGTGCAGCACCAGAGGTTGACGGAGCTTGTAGTGTCTCAGCCAAGCCTGCGAGGGCCACATCGACTGATTCAGCTCCCGCAGCGTTGGCAACAGCCAAAGCATGCGCATGCAGCCCCAACGCACTTGCAGTTTTCGCAGCCCCTGCTGCATCGCCGCAGCAGAGCTGCCTGCCCACAGCTCCCAGCCCACCACAACCGCAGGTACTGCTGTTGCTGTTAGGCAGCCCCTGCTCTTGCTGCTGGTGCTTGTTCTGCGTCTCGGTTTCTAATGCTTCGACTGCAAATTGAACTTCACTCCTGTGGAGGAGTCTCTGAGATGCCGCAGTGATGTCGCCATTGTGCTTCAGTAACAGCAACAGCAGCTGCCACAGGCCCGTAGCCTGGACAGTACACATGCGCTGCTGTTGCGGCATCCTAAAAGCAACTGCCTTCTTAAAAAATGAAATAAGCGCAGAAGTGGTGCGGGGATCAGAGGCTCCCAAAGGTCCCGGGTACTCCAGGAGTAGCTGACACAGCCGCGCAGCAGGCGTTGCAGAGCTACTGGCAGTAGCACTGGTGGGGGCGTCCTTCTCTGCTGCAATCAGCAACCCCATGGTGCTGCAAAAAGAAAGCTTAGTGCCTTGTGCTAAGCAGAAAAGGCCGCCGCTGCTTACAGCAAAAGGTGCCCCTCCGGGCCCCATGCGATGAAACTCTTCTGTTGTAGCCTTCATATCGTGTCCAATGTATACCACGTGCCGTGCAGTTGCTTTTGTTTCTGTTATTGTTGTTGCTGACTCTAGATTGGTGACTGCTGCTTCTCCGCCAAGTGCTGCTCCTCCTGCTGTCGCCGGTGCTGCCGGTGCTACCCGATCGAGTGCTGTTGGTGCTACCGGTGTTGCTATTGCTGCTGCTGCTGCTTCAGGGTTTGTTTGCGAAGTCGACACTGCATCAAAGTTCGCGGGTGCTGCCGCATCAGTGACAAGTTGCGGTGCAGGCACTGCGGCGGTGTGACCGGTATACTTTTGGTGATTCAAGAAAGGATATGCTGGTGCTGCTGCTGCTGTGGCGGCGGCAGGCCCCTTAGCAATGAGGGCCGCTGCTTTGTGGCTATCCGCCGATGAGAGTGCTTCAGTAGCTGCTGCGGTTGCTGCTGTCGCTGCCACTGCAATCACTGCTGCCGTTGCTCCCGCTTCTGCAGCTGTCACTGGAGGGCTTCTATTTGCAGCGGCTCCTCCAGGCTGTCGCGGCTGTCCTTGTTGGCACTGCTGTTGTTGCTGTTGCTCATCCGCTGCCAAACCGCTCTGCCTTGCTTCTAATTTAGCACAAGCCTTGTTTAGCGTCTCGGTCGCGGCGGTAGCAGCAACAGCAGCAGCGGCTGCGGCTGCTGCTACCGTGGAGGTGACTGGCTGCCCAAACGGCGCCGCGTCGGAGTCCTCAAAGAGCCAGGCAGGGTCCGCTTGCCAAGGAGACACTGAGTGGCAAAGTAAAGGAATAAAAAAATAGAAAGAGATGACGCAGTGATGCAAGCGATGAGGGACAGAAGGCAGAAAACGTAAAAAGGCGAGCACGCTTAGGAGACAGGGGGGGAAAGAATCGTAAGACACGAAATACACACAAAATTGACAGACAAATAGATGAACGGAAGTCAGCATGAGAGATGACCACTCCATGCAGATTACAACAAAAGAGAAATAACAATCAAAGACAGGCAAAATTGATGCGATGTGCTGCAAGCTTCTTAGCTGCAGACACTCAACGGCAGCCTAGTAAACAGATTGTATTTAACGACCTCAGGACAAAAAATGACACGTTTCTGGGGGAAAAGCGCAGAAGATAGAAAGGCACAAGCACCAGCAAGCATATGCAGAGCTTCCCACGCAGCCGACGCTGCTGCTGGCCACCGTTTCCAGCAACACACGCAGCAGCTTTTACCAGCAGCAACAGCGGAAGCGGCAGCACAACGCATACCAAGAGAAGTCGGCTCGTCAAGCGCTACTTCAGAAACACACGACGATATTGACACAGGCCGTTGCTGCTCCAGTTGCCGCTGCTGGTGCTGCTCAGGCTGTTGGTGCTGCTCAGACTGCAGCTCAGGCAACTCTTGCTGTTCCTGCTGTTTTTTCTGCAGTTGCTGCCACTCTTGCAGCTGATGCTGCTCCGGCTGCCTTTTCAATCGCTCCTGAAGGCTCATCTCTTGGTCTCCACTTGAGACCTTGCCGGGGTCTTCTTGCTGCGACGCCTGCTCCGACTGCTGCCGCACTTCTTGCTGATGCATTTGGCCATTTGGCAGCTGCTGTTCGGAGTTCCGCCTTGTCCGCAAAGAAGGATTAGGCCCTGAAGGCACCTGTTGAGGCGGCTGTTGTTGCTGCGTGACTTCAGGAGGAAAAAATGGCTGCCGTTGGAGTACGTGGGCATCCTGCTGCGTCGGCTGTTTGTGCACCGCCAGCTGCACAGGTCGCTGCTGCGACTGCTGCTGCAACTGCTGCATGAGTTGCGGCCCTGGCTTCTCCTGCTCTGGATTCGCCCACAGATCTTCGAAGGCCCGACGACGCTGCTGTTGCTTCTGTGTTGATGGGTTCTGCTGCAGAATATTTTCCGCATGCTGCTGATGCTGCACTTTCTGCTGTTGGTGTTGTCCTTGCTGCTGCTTTTGCTGCTGTCGTTGCGGCTGTTGCTGCTGGTCGTATGGCACCTCTTGGGCATTTGGCTGCGGCGCTTCTTCTGTCTGCAGCAACTGGCTCTCTTCCTGCTGCAGCGGTTCCTCTTGCTGCAGCTGTTGCTGCATTTGCGGCTCAGGCTCTCGCTCATCCTGCTGTTGCTCAGGTCTTTCCTGCCTAAGGAGCTCGTGCTCCTCTTCCTCCCTTCGAGCCACCAAATGCGCTGACATCACCTGATCGGACGACTGCGGATGTTGCGGCTCCAGCTGCAGTTGCTTCAGAGCATGTGCAGGCTGCTGCTGCTGCTTCTGACTATCTGTGGAGCTGGAGCTGGCAGAACAGACACTCGATCTTCTCGAAATCTCCTCCGCTTCAATGCGCTCCTTCAGCTGCTGTATTTGTTGCTGCTGTTGCTCCAGCTTTTGCTGCAAGAGCTGCTGCTGCTCCCGCAGGAGCTGCTGTGATAGCGTGTTGCCCGGAGTTGCGCTCTTGGGAGCGGCGTCCTGATGCGCCTGTAGCTGTAGTTGTTGTTGCAGCTGCTGCTGGAGCTGCTGCTGCTGGTGCTGCAGTTGCTGTTGCTCAAGCTGCTGCTGATGCTGTTGCATCTGCTGCATCTGCTGCGTCAGCAGATCTGATTGCGCTTGCTGCTGCTGTTGCAGTGATGGCGTAGGTGTCAAAGGCGGCAACGCAGCAACAGTCGCAGCAGGAAGACTTGCAGCAGGAGCGTCGAAGCTGTTGCCACTGCTGCCGTCTCTGGTGCTGCCTGGCAAGCGAGCAAAGGGGTTCGGGGGTACGTATACCTGAGGGAGGGGCCCCAAACCGACGGGTCCCTTTGGAGCTTCCGGCAGCAGGTTATCGATGGTGCTCGCTCCTAAAGATAGTACCTGCTGCTGCTGTGTGAGTTGCTGCATAGTTTGCTGCTGCCCCTGTTGCTGCTGCTCGCCCAGGCTGCCGGCGTTGTTGTTGCTAGTGACAAGAGGAGCCTTTGGGGTTCCTGGCGACCCCAAAGCAGCAACAAGACCATCATTCAGAGACGTGATGACGTTTTTCTGCATGTTTGGCAACCGAGAAGCAGAAGAAGCGTCGGTGGCAGAGGCCTGCTGCTGTTGCTTCTCTTGGTTCTGGCTTGGCGCCGCTGCCGGCTCCCCCGCAAACAGCACCTGCCCCAGTGAGGATGCAAGTGAAGGCCCAAGGGGTGGGGTCCTATGGACAGCTCCGCTGTCGGTAGAAAGGCTCGGAAGCGGCCCCTGTAAGTTTCCCTGCAGTGGACCTGCAGCTGTTAATTGGTTATGGCTGTACGGTGGGTGGGCCACGCCTGGCACTAAGGCAGCAGCAGCAGCAGCAGGGGCTCCCCCTGACGGGAGCACCTTCACTGTGCCCGCTGGCAGTGCAGCAGGCGCACTGATAAGCTGTACAGGGGTCAACGAGTGCAAACAGGGAGGGCCAGCCACGGGCGGAGCAACGGACGCGGCCCCTGCTGCTGCGGCTGCCGTAGCGGCCGCTGCTGCAGCTGCTGCAGCTGCTGCAGCTGCGCCGCCCATTGGTGGCTGAGCAGACCCCAGAGGAAGCACCTGAGGTGCCCTAGGTGCTGTGTGGCCGGCTCCTGAGCTTGCAGTTAGGGGACCTAACTGATAGGAGCCTGAGGGCTGCAGATGTAGAGCTGACGAACTAGGACCAGTTGAAGCAGGGCCCTGCGGCGCCCCTCTTGCGGCTAGAAGGGAGCTTCCCTCTACCGAACCAAGGGGTGAAAGAGAAAGTGACAGAGGAGGTATTGAACTGACGAGAGTGGCACTCGCTGGCATAGGCATCAGAGAACCTCCAGGCAGTACAGGCGACTGGGAGGCCCCCACTCCACCCACGTTCGGAGTGCCCATTCCCGGGGCTGCAGGTGGCTGCCCTGCGGGGCAACCACTGGGCGGAGAGGCCAAAGGCATCACATTCACAGAAGGCGCTGAAGTGGAGGCCCCCGGAGCAGCAGATAAGGAGGGACCTGCAGGAGGCAGAGGGCCTGCACCGGAACCAGGGAGCCCACCAGTCGATACACAGGGCCCTACAGCGGACAGCGTGACCTCTGCAGAAGATAGAGGGGCCACTACACCAGGCATAGGGGACCCCGTTGTCGGCAGAGAGGCCCCTACAGCAGGAACGGGAGCCCCTACAGCGGATAGTGGGGCCCCGTGCGCTGTGTGTCCAATCTGCCCTAAGACTGTGTGTTGCATTTTTAGATGCTTCAGTCGAACGTATTTGAGTCTATTGTTTCATGCAGAAATATGCACAGAAGAGGAGGAGCGCAGACTCGTGATGCGCGCGCGAGCGGCTTGACATTTACAGGGAGCTATCTAGTCTACACGCGGCAACACCACAAAGTGTACAGACACCCTAAACAAAGAAGCACACACACCCGCTCTAAAAGCGCATCCTGAAACTCAAATTGTAATATTTGCGTCGTAAACGGTAAAGATTAGCCCACTGCCGTGGGCCCCGTAGACGAACCCTGCTGACTACATGCACTTCTGGAGCCCCTGCATCCAAGGAAAGACGTAAAGCATATGGAATTTTGCGAATTTTTGATATATAATCAGAGGTCACATATAATAACGCAGGGGAAAAGGGCGAGGAAGGAATTGTGGCCACCATGCAACTCCCCTTCCTAACCTTCCGAAAGGATTCTCTCCTCGTCCGCTGCTGCGTCGCCGCATGCATCTGGTAACTAGAAAGTTTCTCCGGTTAGGACACGTGTACATTGCTTATTGCGCTACCGCTCTTGCAACGGCAACAGTCGCAGAAACAAAAGCAACGAAATGCGCAGTAGCAGCAGCAGCAGTAAAAGCGGCGGACCTAGCAATTGGTCTCGTTAAGATATCCCGGTTTTCTATAGAACAGTTGCTTCTTCTGCTGCTGCGACCTCTTCAGGTTCATCCCGCAAGATGTGGCGGCGTTAACTGCCTTTTATCTACGTGAGAGGCAGGTCGGCCCTTCAACAGTTCTGGGGAGCTTGTACACACGCTTCAGCTAAATGGTTTATTTTTCCTCCACTTCACATGCTCTTTACTAGGCCTTTGGTCGCAGTACATGTAGATCTTACTTTGCGCCTTCATGCTTTTCGCTGCTGTTTAGCTTACCATTTTGCTCGTCGCAGCCTCTGTCTCCGTCTGCAAATATGTCGTCTCATCAGTCTTTCATTTCCTGCCTCAGTTCATTTGATCATCCTTTTCTACTTTTTTCTTCATGTCTGCACCGCCTGCAAGCTATGCCAGTAGCAAACATGCATGACTGAGAACAAGCCAGCAGGCAGTCTCCTCCGGGTCAGACTGCTTGTTGGCTTGTTCTCAGCAAACATGCATGACTAAGAACAAGCCAACAAGCAGTCTCCTCCGGGTCAGACTGCTTGTTTCAACTGCTTCGCGCAAATTTGCCTGTTAGTGTTTCATTTTGCAATGCTTTTCTAGTCCCTCTGCATTTTGTGTGCCTTTCTTTCTGCGCCTCAGTTAATTTTCGTCTCTGTGTGTCCTGCTAACTTTGTGGCTCTATTCATCATGTTCATTCTGTTTGATTTCCATGTATCTGTCTTTGTGCAAACTGGCCTCTTTGTTTCTTCTCTGTTTATTTCCCTTCTCTTGTAACTGCTTCGTCACATTTCTGTCTGCGTCATGATTTGCTTGTCTGGTCGCGTCTTTTTGTTTGGCTCTTTTTTCTTGCTGTTCGTGGCATGTTATTTTGTTGGCTCATTGCTTTTCCGTTTCGTTTTTCGCCTGTTGCTGCTTCCTGTGACTGTCTCTCTGATCGGCTTATGCTCCTCTTCGTTTGCCAGCAGGTGTTTTCGGGTTACCCGTGTTAGCTCTGCTTCAGGCGTATTATGCTTCTTTTTACGCTGCTGTTTATCCTTTGCCATTTTCCCCTTAGCCTGGGTTGTTATGCTTCTGTCTACTTTTGCTTCGCATGATGAAGGCGCCTGACACAATATTTGTGCCAGGTTCCCTGCTTTGGCTGTTCCTGTCGCCTTGCTACGTACCATTTTGTGCCTTATTTGCGTATATCTCCGTCGTTACTCGCTGAGTCTTGTTCTTAACCGTCTTTTTGTATGTCTCATCCCTCGAGCTGCGTACATCTGCTTTTTCTTCGCTTTGTCCACCAGTGTTCGCCCATTCTTTGCCCTCCTATATTGCATTTTCTCACTTAGTTTGAAAATTTCTGCGCTTCTTTCCATTTTTTGATTGCTTTTTTGTCTTCTTGGTCCATTGCAGCTGGGCCGTCGCCGCAGTCCGACCACACATACGGAAGACATGGAGTCGTCTCTTTCTTCATTTCTCGATTCCAAAAGGGGTATTTTTTGTGTGTCTCGGCAAGGTGAAAATGTTTTTGTCACTGTAAAGCAATAAAGGCGGAAACTGTCTCGAAGGGACACGCACAGCAGGGGGCCCAATACGGCCTTCTTAAAACAGAACCCCCGTATGTGCTGATTCAGACGACCATCAGGATGCTCTTTCTGCCTTTCGAAGGGCACCCAGTGAACTTCCAGAGTTTGTTTGGGAGAAGGGATAAGAGGTTCGGCAGGGAAAAGGCGAAAGGGGTGTGGAAAGGTCCCTAGGGTGTTGCAGGGTCGTTGCCCCTGCTGCCTTTCTCCAGGGCTGTAAGTGGGCGGTACTGCAAGCTGTGCCTTTTGGCGACCCTTCCAGCAGGCAGGCCATACCAATGAGTAGATGCATTAAGGAAGGCCCACCGGCCCCTTTCGAGACAGCTGCAGCGTCCAGCAGCTGCAACTAACACAAGGACCTCAACATCTGGCCCACTGTGTCGGGCAGCCTAAGGGTATTTGGGGCCGCTGAGGCCGCTGGAGCCTCAGGGGCATTGGGAGAAAAGGCCCATAAATGCAAATTGTTCTGCCTCCGCGGCTTTTGGAATTTTGCCGGTGCAGCTCTTGTACGGCATTTCATCTTCTCTACTCAGACACTGAATACACACGTGTTTTGGATCCAGCGCTATGGTATTTACGGTTTGAAGTCCTATGTTGTAGATCCGATCCCCAATGCAGTAACTTAGGCTTTATAATTCGCATTTGAGAATTTATTTCAATAGCTTGTCTGCCTAATAGGCGATTACACTAACTTTTCCTGGGCTCCGTTTTACACAGCCGCTGAGGAGGCAATAGTGGCAGATAGGGGTGCGAATACGCACGCTAATTTTTCGCTAAGGGTCTAGGTTGCAGTTTTTTGGGTCTCTCCGACCCGTAAGTGTCTGCTTTGCCTGAAGTGCTTTTCGCCATCACCTCAACTGTACATACTGCTGCAGCATTCCATGAACCCCTGCAACATTTCTCTAAAGCTTCGTGCACCGTTATTGCGATGGTGCCGACGAATGCGTGCAGCGTAGAGCCTTGGTATCGACCAAATGAGACTAGTTTGGGGGGAGTTTTATGCTAGTACATCTGGCATTCGGGAGACCTCGTAACAGTAGAAAAAAAGCTATTGAGGACAGGCTGTTCGGCGTACAGGGCAGAGCGCCTGTACTTCCTGAGACTTACAGCTAACAAACCAAAGGAAAAAACTGAAGGCGTTCCCAGGCGCTCTGTGAGTATCATTGTCGTGGTGCAGAGGAGCATCTTGTGGACTTGCAAGGGGCTTCGTGCTCAGGTGGGGCATATGACGCATCGCAAACCTGAGCACTATGCCCCTAACGAGCCCAAAAATTTTCCTGACCTGAACACTGGGTCCCTGGCACGCCCGAAAAATGTTCCTTGTCCCCACAACAATGACACTTGCACAGCAGTAAAAGCCAGGGGTTGAACGCAAATACGCAATAATTTGGGGAACCCTGCTCATTCTAATGCTAGAGCCTAGACTAGTTTTATCAACAGCCGCGCCACTGGAGTCCTAGTTAGCTGGGATGCAATCGCTCTAGTGAACGAGCTAGGAATTGCCCATCTGGCGCTCCAGCCCTGCGCCAATCTGCTTCATTTTCAGTGCACTAGCTTTGTTGAGTCAATTTGGCAAGAATGCCGTCTTTCGAGCAAGTCAGGCCCACTCGCGGATAGCACTAAACTGCCGCTGATTCCCGAACTGTGCGCGCTCTATGGCAGCACATCTGTGTTACAAACGCTGTATGTTGGTATCGCTTGCCTTGAGAAGAGGCGCGCATATGCTTTACCTTACAGTGAGCAGCAAAACTTGAGGGTGCTCATAGTTACTCAAGCAGGACGCTATGTAAGCAGCGGTGCAAGCGAACAGGTTAAAATGCCTTCCAGCGTTACGAAGAGGAAAGCTCCGAGTGCACCTGCTGGACATTAAAACAGTTGCGCTGCCGCAAGTTGCGCATATTTTTGGAATGAAGGGATAGTGCCGTGCCAATCCTGCATGGGCGCTTAAAGGCCTGGGCTGTTGCCAACTTCACTCGACGAAGCGACTGTACTGGAAATGTAGGACGTATAACCAACTGGTGTAGAAGCAAATTGTCCCAAGGCTCTGGAGCAAGAAAATAATTCTCAGAATATTATAACAGAGCTCTCTGCACCCCCACTTAGCTAAGCTGCTTAAAGCGTTATCGGCGCTTCGCACTGATAACACCTACGAATCGCTGAGGAGCATTAAGGGCTTTCTGATGCTAATGTGCGCGTCGAGGCTACTGTCAGGCTCAAAACCTAAGCCATCTGGAAATGCTGCGCGGACGTCGCAGCTCCTCATAATTGCTTGAAGACAATCTTAACGTACAGCGAGAAAAGCTTCGCATTGCATGAATGACCTTCGCGCTTATCCAAGCGGCCTTGCCATCACTGCAATGGAGCACGGAAATACTTTGCGGCAAATAAGCAAAGGCTATAAGTCAATTAAATCCATAGAAACTTCTTCGCTTTCGTTGGTGGTGGCTGAGATTAGACAAACACAAACACGGCCCAAGCTCAGGTGAAAGCCTTACCAGTTCAACAAAGCGAATACCTGCACAGTACCACAGTTCTGTGTGGGGCCTCCTCTGCGTCCATGTGCATCAGTGGAACCACCAAGAAGCCTCTTGTGAAAAGCAAATAATCCACAACACAACGGCTGCAAAAATAGCAAGACTATTCCTGCAATACCCACCATAGGCAGTCAAGATGACATGTCCTTTGATCTTTGAACCAGGTGGTCTTGGGAGTGCCACGCTGAAGTGGTCTGTAGGCCCCCTCTTCACTGCAGCAGATAAGGGGAGCCAGACATAATGCACTCTAGGCAGCATCCCACAGTGAGTGGTGAATGTAACCCCGTCACCGGCTGCATGAGCTGTTGGTGCATCGGAAATATTTTCGCGGGACAAGGGCAGGAGCGTGTGGTCTTTCTTGAAATATTTCGTCCACTCACTCCGGGTTGCTTGAGCTTGTTGAAGGGCATGAAAGGCCAGTTCTTCAGTCAGCGCCATTACGTCGCGTTTAAACTGCAAATTCATTACAAATGAAGGGTTTGACAGCAGCATACTGGAGCCTTGTAGGTAGCCTAAAGGGTTTTCGGACGTTTAGCTACGGAAGAAGCTCGAATCGCTGACCCTCAAAACAGAGTTGTTCAGATCAAGCTCTCCTGCCTTATACCCAGAAAGTAGTCGAGTGAGCTTGCCCTGCTTTTTCTTCTCCTTCACAAAGTCACGCAGATACGCAAAGCACAGCGGGCGCTTCTCCATCATTGGCCCTCTATCTTGTCTTTAATTCCACCAAGCTGTGGCTTGCTTTGATTGCGCGTCTGGCGAGTTCATGAGTAACACAAAAGCCGCTCAAGCGTCAAGGTACTCACTACTTCCCTAACTTCAATATGCAGACAAACGGTCGCACTGCCATCCGGTAGAGGGCAGTTAACTCTGTGATGCGCTGTGGGCAACAGGATAAGCTGCACAATGCACAAAGGGGTGCTGAACGCAAGCGTAAGCCTGGAAGATTGATGAGCTGGGCCTGAGGCTGTCACTTCTCCCGCTGCTTCGAAAGGGTTCGACCAGATTCACTTGCTGTATCTGCAGACCCACCGCGATACAGAGCAGAGTGTTCGTGGCAAAGGCTGGCCACACCACTTCCACAGTTCATTAGCTCCATACGTAGTCCCTCGTAGCACTGGAACAAGCAGAGCACACAGATAATGGCCACTTTCTTTGAGAGTCTGCTAAGTCAGCTTTATTTACCTGGCTCAAAAGTCTACACAACTCTCACCATACGACTCCTCGCTAGGCCTTAGGCTGTTCAACACCGGTGAGAGTGGAACTAATGATTCCCAGGAGCCTTGACAGTGCACGTACCGTGTTCACCAAATGACGAAATTGATAGGGCAGATGCAAACCTTTGTAGTGTGAAGAACTCAGGTTTCCAACAGACACCATAGGCACGAACTCTCTCATTTCTCCAGGTTGCAGAGATATCTGATCAGGTTCCAGTGGACCTCCTCTTGGAAAAGACGCTGGTAAAGTTGCTGCTTTCGACGGCCCTAATCGCAGCGTTATTGGTACTGAAGTTGGAACAGGCGTTGTCAGTATTTAGGTAGAGTATGCGTGGCTGAAAGCGCTGATGCAGAAACTTCCGGTGCACCCGCTTGTGGAAATACAACTGATCGCGCTGTACGCTGTAGAGTTGACTCACCAGCTGTTGCTGATTCAAGGCTTAGTGCTGCCAATGCCTGAGAGGGCCCTGCTGCTTGCCCTCCTGTTTGGCCTGATCGTGATCGTGGTGGCACTGGTGGGGGAACAGAAGTTGACGCGGGTAGACTAGAACCTGTGGCTGGAGAGGGCAATGTTGATGATGATTGAGCCGGCATATGACCTGCTGTCGGTATCGTTGCTCGTGAAGGTTTTGTTGAAGCTTCTGGGGCAGATGAATCCAGCCCTGGTAGGGCTGCTGTTGTTGGATTTGGCCATGCTTGCTGTGGAGGGTGTGGAGACAGCGTTGCTTGCAACGACAGTGCTTTTATTGATGTGGCTGGCGCGGCTGCTTCTGTTTGCGGCTGCGTGGCCTGCTTTGCTGGTGCAGGAATCAGCTGTGTTTCTGATTCCTTCAGCTGTAGTGAGCGCTTTTCTGCCTGAAGCATTGCCTTAGTAGGTGCCCATAGTTCTGCAGTCAGGCTTGCTTCTTTTGCTGGAGCAGACGTCCCTGCAGGTTGGAGCATCCATCCAGCAATGTCGATTGAGCCTTCGGATGCTGAGGCAGAAACTGGAGCAAACGTTCCTGCATTTGGGAACATCCATGCATCAATGTCGCTTGGATCTTCTGGTGATGGGGCAGAAACTGATGCAGCTGCTGCTGAGGTAGCTGGTGAACGCAGCTTTGGTGCAAGGGGGAGCTTTCTTCTGGTTGCACTTGATGAAGTAGACCTCGATGATAGTGCTGGCGCCGGTCTTCTTGGTCTTGAAGGAGACTCTGGAGTATTGTCCCCTACTCGGGTATATGATCCTTCCTTTGCTCGCTGTTCTGCTCTTTTGTCCGCGAAAAAGTTTTTCAGAGCAGGAAGACCTCCCGTAGCTCGCTTCAAAACTGAGCTTGCTCGGCGAAGACTTCCTCCTTTTGGCAGGCCTGAAGAAAATGACCCTCCCCCGAATGATCTTGGAAGTGAAGCCCCTCGTGGCAATGCTTCCCAACCATGTCTCCTCCCCAACGAGCTCTGCCCAGCGCTATGAGCTCTGGCACTGCCAAAACCTGTCCCATGGCCGCATTCATCTTCATCATCACCATCCTGCAAAATCCGAAACGATGCGAAGCGCTTAGACTCAAAAATGCTACAGCAGCCCTTCAACAAACTATTTCAGTCCACACGTGGCAAAATTCCCTCAGTGTTGTGGACTAGATGATGAGTTGCTGGGCACCTACAAGAAGAGCTTCCTCTACCTCGCCGTTGTCTTCGATCCATTTTTCTGATAGTGCCCGGACAGATCTAAAATGTTTTGTGGATAGATGTAACGCACATTGCACCAGCAGGAACACAACAGCGGCAGACACCCCAAGTGCTAAGCACCCATGCCAAAAGACCCGTTCACTTCTCCCTGGAGGGCGCCTTGTCTTGATATGGACAATATCAGTAGTTCCAATTAGTTCCTTATGAACTGTAGAAACAGGAGGCAAAGAATATATCCCTGCCGTCTCCATCGGCGCAACGTCGCCGTGAGTTAACACGATTCAGGGCCGATTCAAGACTGCTGTGGGAGTGAGCATCCATCGCCCAAGAGCCGCTACGGCTGAGTTCAGCACCTGCACGGGACCGCAGAAAAATGCAATGCCAGTTTTCAGAACCCAGCTGGAGAAACCCACCTTGAAGTTGATATCCTGATTTCATCTGGAAAACTGGAACGTGATATCAGGGGCGAGAGGCCAGAAAGTGCTATTCGATCCCCGATGCCTCTCTTCAGTACACCCAAAACGCTGTCATCAAAATTTTTCGCTATAGTTTCGAAAGCGCAGCACCGAGGAGGAAGGCGCTCGAAATGTGTCGGGCAGGAAATAACTAAGCGTTCCCGGATACTTGCATGTTGTGGCTTTTTAGGCTCTGATCCCCCACTGATAATTTATTTTTAGAGAAACAATCAAAAGGGTGATTTATGAAATTTGTATTTGAAGGCGCACATGGCGAACTGGACGGGTAGGCAGAACGGATACAACAGAGGCGTCTGAGGCTGCACCGTGTACCCTGTTCATGTACGTTAACATAGCATCTTGCTAATTTCCGTACACGAGCATTAACACTTCAGAAAACTGAGAATTAGAATCAAAGTTAGTGGCAACAATTTGAGTGAAGATGGCTCCTTAACCCTGAGAGTTCTTTGCAGTCTCTGCTTGAGCGGTCTAGACTGAAATGACGAAACAGATCATGAACGCTCACGGGGGAGCGGTGGCGACTCTCCCTTGTTCCACCGAAGACGCGCACACAAAACCTGTCCCTTTCTTCGTCATAAGTTAATGATAAAATGGATAATTTGTTGCCGTGATCCCTTTCCGCCTAGCCCATGGATGCGCGCCACAAACAGTAAGAAGAAAGCACTCCGCCAACACGCGGGCGCGGGGCGGTAAGTAAGCCCAAAGGCATTGGTTCTGGCCAGTTAAGACCCTCTCTCGTACTAATTCTAATGTATAGTGGCTGAAGTAAGTGTTTTTTACTGAAGAAACAACAGCTTCAAGGGTACGAAGTGTGCTGAGCAAGACGTCTCCAACTCCTCGAGAGTCTCCAAAAGTTTAACTGGCGTTGCTGTGCACCTGAGAGCTTCACCCCAAATGAAACTTACGCATAAAAGAAGGCCATGCCTACAAAATATTATTTTGAAGGGTTTTGCTGGTAAGTTATACCTTCTCGTCTTGTCCTCTGGGGTGCCAGCACTGCACAGCCGCTGGGTGGTTGACTTAGCAGAGACAGTCTTCCGAGAGCAAGGATTCGTGAGCATCAACTGACCCAGTTCGGCTTATTTAAAAATTTCTGGCTTTCTTCCTAGCAGACGAGTTACGCCACGAGCATGCGATTAGACCGTCACTGGAAGACCAATATCGATCAGCTTCCAGGTTGGAGTCAGTGCTCCACTTAAATACCAGTTCAACTGTATGGCTAAAAAAATGTACGTTAAGCTACAAACCTAAGCTATCTGTATGGCTAAAAAAATGTACGTTAAGCTACAAACCTAAGCTATCTTTCAGTTGACTGCGAGCAGGTCCACAGCATATTATTAGCAGAATTAAGCACTTTTTTCCATGGAGAAGTAGCAGGCGGGCTTATACCGCTAGTTGAGAAGCAGATAGCAAAGGGTCGGGCCATCTGAATGCTTTTTCGTCATCTTGAGTGTGTTTAGAGGAGTGCCGCATCAGCAGGATAGAAGCAGAGAAAAATGTGCAATAAAACGCGTTCTTACCTCCAGTCGCCACAAGCTTTTGAAAAGTAAAGCATTTTCCTCTTACCGCTGGTCTTTAGAGTGGGCAGTTGTGCTCTGTACCGTTCCTCCAAAGCTCCGTAGGCTCGTCTTCCAGCAGCGTTTTTTCACTTTATAGACCACCAAGTTTACCTTCCCGCTCGTAAGGTTTGTACGCTGCAACGATCGAGGATATTATAGATGAGATGGCAGGCATTTTCCTCCACCCGTCTTTCCTTCTCACAGCCTTTCTCGGGCGATTATTTTTTGCATTTTGCTGTCTTTGTTCATTTGCGTGCCTTTTCGTTCCTGCGCTTCTCCCCTCGCACCCTCTACTGGCTTGGCGCATTTTTGTCCCGCTTCTGTTCGGCAGGAGTGTCACTTTTATCCTCCTTCTTTACTTTCGCTCTATGTATACATAAGTGTGTCTATCTATGCATTTTTAAAGGTCTATGATTCGCGTATCCAACCTTTCATCGTCTCAAATTGTATAATTCCTTCTGTCTTCGTGTCTTTTGACTTTTCTATCCCTTTGGACTACTCTTTGACTGTCTCTTTGTACCATCTTTTCTGTCTTCAGTCCTGCCTTTGTATGTTCCTCTTCTTGCTTTAGTTTCATTACTCTTTGAAACGCGTCTGGCTTTTGCCTCTCTCTACCTTTCCTTGAGGTCGCTTCTCACAGCAATCGAAACTCCACAAGCAGCAGCGGCGTATGCGTCATCGTTACATCTACTGTTGGCACCTTTGTCTTCTGTCTCTATTCCTCGTGCTGCATCGCTCGTTGCGTTAGAATGGAAAGGAGACTCGTAAGAAATGTCTGCTTGATGGTCAAGCCTCAGGTTCCCACAGCGGTCGTCCCTATCGGGATCCACAATGACACACAAACACCATAGGCTGAAAACGATGCGCCAGAGTGATCCAGAACAGATGCGTGGTATGAAAGTGTTAGTTCTGCGGTGCGTGGAGTGGAGAAGGGCTGGGCCTACCAGCGGGAGCAAAGAAGTGTTCCCATAGCTGTATGACTTCGCAAGCCCCCGACCTGGTTTGAATATGTTCTGAAATAGGTATTGAGCGCAGAGAGTCACCTCAAATATGATAGATACGCAAATAAGTAACGTTAGAGTGATGCCAGGTTGTCAATAGTGTCAGGACGCCCGTAGCAATGCCCGATAAGATCTTGCAGCCGGCCGCATGGACCAAAGAGAGAAGCCCGGCAGAGTTTCGCAACTGGTCTGCCAATGTTCTAATCTCAGAGTCACCCACTAAGCACTAAAGTTGCAATAGCGGACGTCGCCTGAGTAAATAACATGCTCCCGACAAAACACTCCTATTGCAATTTTTGTCTTTGTTCCTGCTCAACAGCTGTTATAAGAATACTTCGTCCAAAACAAAATCCTGAGGACTTCAGCGAGGCTTGCCTGCCGAAGCGCCAACACACGAGCAAATGGCATGAGGTATTCAGCAAAGGACAATAGTCCTTCGTGTTGTTGTGTGAATGCACTGGAAGCGATGAGACCCTTGATTCACGCGTCACTCAGCTGTCGTTTGCAGAGCACGCAGAGGCTGACAAAGTTCTATGTGCTCTGTCAGTTCGTTCCAAATAAGCATTGCTGCTCTAAAAGCCAACAGAAGTACCTACAGCTCCGAAGCCCACGGCCCTGGAGCGCCATGGACTCGGCCGGCGCATTTGAAAGAAACTAAAATAAGTGATGCATGCCACAAGAGACGCTGATAACCTATTGAAACTTTAAAATGGACCAATGCCTGCTTTTGGCACAGCAAAATCTGCTCTAAGGGTTTTGTGCGGCGAGCTCTACATTATAGACTGTAGGCTGCACTCTGCTTATAGCTTGTAACCTTTTCAAATCAGCAAAACCCTCATGGAAGATTAGGTCGCATAATGTTGCACATGAGTACGCACAAGGCACTAAGTTATATTGAGAACCAAAACAACCACCTAGGGCAAAATTTTGTATTAAGTACAGCGATAAACTGTAGTTCTTCATGTTTACTCATTCTGACTCTTCTGAGGAATTCTCGCTCTGTTTAGACGAGCGCTTGTTTTTGAAAAAGTTTGTGGAAGCCTGCTGGCGGTGGGACGTCAAACACAGGTAATGGCAGCTGCAGGCCATGATAGCATTCACCTCCACAGCCAGAGCCACGATCTCGGAATTAAATAGAGTCGGATGTAAAGATTACCGTAATGCTGCCGTGCTTCATCTGATGCGCCACTGCAATGGTGCTATATTTTTTCCATTTCCCAGCGAAAAACCTAGTCTGCCTTAGTCTACTGCGTGAGGGCGGCTTATCCATCGTAGCCGATGGGTAAGCGTTCAAAAAAGTGGAAAGAAAGTATGGG